CATAGATCAAGAGATCATGTCATAAAAAACAATTCACAAGGATAGCTTTGGACTTTGGTTTATCAAATATAAGGAATCAGATTAGAACATGAAGAAGGCATACTAAATTGATTCTAACATGAAACATATGTTACATTTCAGATACAACTTTTAATTCTAACTTGCAAAAAAATCGCCAACAAGATGTATGATCATCACTACTTGTTAGCATTTTACGAAGAAATTCAACTTTAGGATCATTCAAGTGTCGAATCAAGTAAATGAGAATAAAATATAATAAACTTCAAGTGTCAAACTACGAATAATATTATTCATAGTGTCGTCCTATGTGACATTTTTTTATTCAACGCATCAATTTTTATATTTCTGTTATTTCAAATAACAAACTGTCCCGTAAAAATAATTATTTCAGTCGCTGACTATGAATATTATTACTTCAAACTAATCCTCAAGATTTTATGAAGCAATAAATAATGTTCTCGTTATTCATGTGAGATCTTTTATGTTTGTTTGTTTTTCTTTTTCTTTTTTAAGGTGTTGTAACTCACTTGAAGTTATCATGACATGACACCACATAAAGTAAAGACAATGATGATTCTTCAATAAATAAATACATTTACCCATTAACGATGCGTTTGGTGTATTAATTAAATATTAAATATGACAAGATAAGATAACTCATAAATTTAATTACATATATATTGTTTCTTAATTTTATTCAATCTTGTATAAAAATTTCTCAGACGTAGCGAGATAATCTGAGTTATGATTCTCTGAATTATGACTGCTTTAGATAATTATATCTAAAGTTCTCTTGTAAAGTCAACGATACAATCATACAAAGTTTTTATCCTTACTCACTGTAGGCGGGAGATCAAGATCGATCATTTTTTTAATTACTTTTTATTTTCTCTTTTCTCGATCATTCAATACAAATAAAACTCCTGTAATCTACATGATAGAGTCGATTGCAATGGTGTGTCAAGTACACAATGCTCAAATCGGAATCCTTTTCATATTAGACGACTTGATACATTTTTACTCGATTTCATCAAAAAGACTTTAATAGA